AATTTTTTATACTTTTCTCAAACCCTTTGAATTAAAAAAAAAAAACTCTTGCTATATGGTTATTGTCATGGTTCTACTGTGTGGGGAACGAAGGAGCGCGGAGACGAAGGAGTTTGAACTTGACAATTTTTAATGAATTCAAATAACTGGGAGCACACACGTAGAACATAGGAGAGACGTTTAACACTGGACGCTAGACACAGGAAAACACTGGGCTTAAGTAGCTGGATCTAAATGAGGATAATCAGGGGAACACAGGTGAATCAAATGAACACAATCAGACATGGGAGAAACTGGGTCACGGGGAGCACATGGGGAGCAAAACACAACACAACAGGAACACAGGTCTGACATTACCTCCCCCTCCCGGAAGGTGGCGGATCAGGGAGCTCAGGGGGCCATGGCGGGTTCTGAGGCCATCCGTGGGCCGGGTGTAGGAACAACGGCCCTCCCTTGGCATGACTCGGGATCTGTGGCCCTCTGTGGGCCAGACTTAGGAGCAGCGGCCCTCCCTGGGCTTGACTCGGGAACTGTGGCCCTCTTATATGCATTTCTTTGAATATCAGTTTGTTCTAATTATACTTTTTAAAATTCAAACTGAAATTCTGTATGTTATATGAATTATGCAAGATGTAATTCTTCATCCTCAATTCAAATGAAATTCAACTTTCTCAGTTCAATTCTGAATGATGCACAATCCTGTTGGTGGGATACCAGCTTCCAAAAACCACAACATGTGCTGCTTCAGCAGAGATTAATACCGTTTTAGCTGTTATTTTCAACAGTATGCTTTGAAAGGATAGCCCAGACCTTTTGCCAGTGAGTTGGTGGTTGATAGTTTTTGGGAGGTCATTCTCACATTGAAAAGCAAATTTCAGTGAATCACAGCTCACAGGCAACAAGAGACTGCAGCACTGGAGGCCAGAAAAGCTGTCTTGAGTCTTATTCCTGCCACAAAGGCATAGCGTATGAAAATGTCTGCAGATTGAATACAAGTCGGGCAGCAGGCAGTGTTTCAGTTGTGCTCAAGGGGGCAAATGACAGATGCAGACTGACCAGAAACAAGTGAGCTGCAATAATCTAGTAGAGAGATAACTAAGGCCTGCATGAGTCAGGAATGTAGAAAGGGCATCAGTTGTGAATTATGTCTTATCTGTGTTATTACCATCTAACTTGTCATTTTCACAACCTGTTAGAAAACGTATTATAGACATTTAAGGCACATCTGTTGGCATAAAAATCCCTCAGCCATACCCTGAGGATTTTCAATCATTTGGATTCAGATTAGGGTGCATAAAAACTCTAGTGAGACGTGGGGATAAACAAATACAAAATACAACTGCAACACAAAATGCTGTCTGTTATCTGTTGCCATCAGTATAATGTTCATACCACGATCTTCATGTACAATATGGCTCTGTATTGATCAAAAAAGTGTTTTAATCATGCCTTATTTATGAAGCAAGTGGCTTTGTTGGTTTGCTGACATGTTTGTTTGTTTATCTTATACTCAAGGTGTTTGTGTTTTTCACTGGTGTGGCTGTTGCAAAGACAGCAGTGTGGCTTTAAGACAGCAGTCCCTGTTCTATCTAAGCGTCTCGTCTTGCTGGAATACGGGGGAGGTTTGGACGTGTGAACGCACAGCACTGTGGGCTGCGTTTCTGCTGAGAAAGGAAGAAGGAGAGGGGGATGAAAATATGTGTCAGTTTTAGAGTCTCAGATGAGTAATGCAACCATCTGCCTCTGCCTGTGAGTGTTTGCATGCACATCTCGTATATGGACCGTCAGATGCACAAACACGCATATAAACACCTTGTTATTTTAAATTATTAGAAAATATGGGATTAGTTTCCACTGCTATGCTGATGATACTCAACTATATATCTCAACGAGACCAGATGAAACTTCTAAATTATC